TTTGCGTGCCCTTGCATTTCTACATGCGTGACCTTCCTTGGCCGACTTGTGTGATCGCGCGTCCAACCCGCGTTCTCTTCCACGTGCTTGATCGCGCGCTATCTCTTGACCGACAAGCTTTGACCCACTCACGCTCAATCCTTGTATAGGCAACCCTTGTATGGCCGACCCTCGTCTCACCAGGTTCGCCTCATGCATTCGTGCATCGATCTGTTGGGCCTTTCGTCGGCTACCATGTTTCACGCCTATGCGAACTCCACGATTTAAGCCTGTCCGTGCTATGCGCTTATACCTCATGCTCCTCGGGCTCATGCAGCTTCTTCGTGCGCGTATCTTTGTGAACATGCAAGCTCTTCTTGCGTGTACCCGCTCCTATGCACAAGACATCCGTCGACTACCTCGTGTTCACGTGGACTTGTGCCGCTTCTCATGTGCTTGAGTGCCTCTCATACGAGCTCGTACCCGCCTTTTGGACCATGCGTGCGTCGTTTTAGCCCTATTTTCAGCCTCCTCGGGTCGTCTCGGCTCTTGTCCTTTCTTGTCGCTGGGGCTCGAAACCCACTTCCGCATGATCGCGCCTTGAATCGTCGATAGTGTTTCTCTAGCCACAACCGCGCCTATTGAAACGATAAAATTGCAATAGTATTCTGGTGAAAAGACTAAAGCAAAGTTCGAAGAACAAAGTTCTAGATTTCTATTAATTCTTGAATCATTAAAAATAACATGCGTGAAGGGGCCTTTATATAGGCACCAACAAGATCTAAGTCTATTCTACCTAGGAAACTAATAAAGCAATAAAATATTAAGCATCCTAAACAATCTAGAAATTATAAAACAATAAGGAAACTAAATAACTAGGGGATCTTGTGCCTTGACTTGCACTCCAAGTAGGGAAGAATAATCTAGAAAATTTTCAGCTCAAAAGACTCCTAGGAAACTTCTTTTCTTGCTGGCCAAGTCATTCCCGCGCGCTGCCCGCCAGCTGGCCTGTGCCCGCTCGTCCGCT